CTGTGCAGGCTCCAAATTTCACTGTCGAAGGCTCCGATCTGATGCAATATTTGTTTGTCTTGTTCCTCGACATCCAGCGAGCTTTGTCGCCAACTTTATGCGACAACCAGCTGGGCCATACTTTCAAAACTCTCTAAGTGAACGTAAGTACTTACGCTCCATTTTCTTGTCTATGATTGGTGGATTTTGCTAGAAAGGCCGTCAATGATTGGCTGATGAACTTACGATCTCTTAACTTTTCTTGAAAGTATAGGCCCAGACAATCTATTCGCCAGAGTCCTTGAAAAGACATTGAGCTGGGCTTGGCGTATATAAAAAAAATGGGGTTACATCGAATTTGTCTTCAGGGGCAGTCGCTAGCAGTATCCTGAAGAACCTCACATTATCAGGGTCCCAATCGTCTGCTTCATTTTTGTTTTGCCGTCACAAATGCCACAGCTCTGTGTCCCTCGCATGACGCCTTCGTACATGTCTAAGCAGGGTGGAATTCTAGGAATGGTTGGTTGATATATTCCAGATCAATCCAGTCTAGTCGCAAGGCCATGATCAGTTCCAAAATATTAGCTAAACCTAAAGTAATATTCAATTGCATATTAACACTCCCAAATTTCACACATTTAACCCTCACAAATTCCACACATTTAACCCTCCCAAATTCCACACATTTAACCCTCCCAAATTCCACTCGTGTACATGAGCAGGGTCGACGAGAAGCGTGACCCCCCACGGAGAAATATTCCCCAAATGTTCTGAATGTAGAAGTGCGTCTGTGTACCACGATAAAATCGATAAAATCTTTGGTGCGTCCTGTGCCGAACAGAAGCGCCGTAAGCGTCTCGCAGATCCTCTTTGCGATGAAAATTACTCACCGAGATGACGTGGTTCAGTTTGGGACTTTCCTACATTCGATCGAATTCGGATTTTGTGGACGTGTCGCATGAACCGACTAAATATCGTCGTGTCATTTCAAACGTTCGGGCAGACCGATGTGTCTTAATATCTGTCATATCTCGTTTGGGCATGCCATGGCTGACGGCAGTTCACACACCTTGTCACGAGATAAGTGACAGCATCGAATCGCGCTATCACATGGACAAGACTGCTGCTTTCAGTGTGCGGGCCTCTTGAATGCGTATCGTTTACCCGCTGGATTATCTACGTGGTATGTGTGAAGGCCTTCTACTTTAGTTGCTTCGCCGGACCTGACACTGTTGTAGCGGGAAATGTTGTAGCTTAGTGTGTTGGTTGTGTTGTTGTTGTAGCTTAGACTTGTCAGTCCCTGCTAGCGGGCTCTACGGTTCGTGGAAGAATGAAACTACGCAAGCTGAACTTCAGGCCTCTGTTTACTTTAGAGACTTGCAGAAATTACCGACACTCGAGTGCTCCAGATGACGCAGAACGTTAAAATGACGTTCAAACTAGAAATACTACAACGATGGACACAATAATGGGAATGATGAAGCGGCTCCCGACTTGGGTTGGGCTTTTGCTTAAACTGTTTCGACAACGCACAAGACTACACAGGTGGCGAGGATAGTCTCAGGATACCCGTATGGGTTCAGTAACCGTAATTTCGCTCACATCTCCCGTCTGGGGACCATCCAAGTGGATGAAAGGGCGCACATTATCCAAGCCAATATGAGATACGAGAAAGTTCCTACATTTGATAGATGACGATTTCCTGAAGCCAGGCGCAAACACATCGGGGTTACCCTATGTTCCTCAGTCAGACACCGGATCATCCCCGAACTCCGTGTGAGGGCCGCTTATTCTCTAGGCACTGCTCGAGCCGACCGTGACTAATACAGAGAAAACACTCTGCCTCCATCAAGCATCTGGCCGAAACGTGACCTCGAACTCCACATCTACGACTTTGGGCCAGAGCATGGAGCTTTGGGCAAGCTCTGGGCCAGAGCATGAACCTTGAGGGTGAAAGTTGGTCAAGTTCATTAATGAGCGCGAGGCTCGTGATCGTGAAGATCGGGCTAGAGCTCGGTCTCACGAACGGGAGTTAAAAGCCTTAGAATTGAAGCAGAAAGAACAAGAGAATGTTCATGCTCAGGAGATGCTCAAGATTGAGAGAGGTGTTGGTGTCCCCAGCACTAGCAGTGCCTGTTGTGACAAGACTAGCCGTCCTCCACCTTTCAAGGATGGGGATGACATTACTTCATACTTGATTCGATTTGAACGAGTTGCTCAGATGCTAAAATGGAAGCCTGAGAATTATGCTGTCCAGTTGGGTTTGTTGCTTCAGGGACAAGCACTTAAAATTTACGTTTCCCTTCCTGATTCGATAACTGCTAACTATGACACCCTCAAGGCTGCATTGCTGAAAGCTTTCCGCAAAAATGATAATGAATATCGTAAGGAATTTCGTAGTAGCAGGGTAGGGCCGAATCAAAATTTTGAACAATTTGCCGCTTCTCTGTTAAGGATGTTTGATTTCTGGATGTCGAGCGCTGGAGTACAGCAAGATTATGAATCTTTGCGCAATGCTATGGTCGCCGATCAATTCTTGGCTTCACTGACTCCAGATCCTAGAATCTTTGTGCGAGAACGTTGCGTCACTGATCCTCGTCAAATGGCTGTCCTTGCTGACAATTTTGCAACTGCCAGAGGCGTGTACCCTGGTGATAGACCACATAAACCGAAACCGATTAATATTCCGCCAAAAATTACGCCAGTGCTTACTAATACTCCGTCGGATAACCGGGGCGGTAGTGGTCGTGCTCAGAGCGAGGGTGGCGCGAGATGTTATTCCTGCGGTGCTTTAGGTCACCGTAGAAAAGATTGCACACAAAGTAGAGCGTCGCAACCGCGGGTGAACCAGGCCTTCAGCTCGATCAAGCCTTGTGGTCCAATGGTTTGTGGTACGGTCAACGGTTCCAGATTGTCTTCTATTCTTAGGGACACCGGTTGCTCTACTGTAATTGTATCTGAAGACGTGATTCCCGACGGCGACTTCTCAGCTTATCCACAAGCCAAGATTTTTGATTACTTAGGTCGTAAGAACATTTTTCCTGTTATTAAATGCTATATTGACTGTGACTTTTATAAAGGTTGGGTCGAGGCCGCCAGGGCCCCGATCAAATTTTGCTCTGTATTACTTGGAAACATTCCTGGTGCCAGGCTTCACTGTTCTCTGGAGCCGCCAGGTGAAGTCTCAAATTCGCGTGCGAAAGGCGTAGCTGACATTCATGCTGCTTATTCGGTAACTGTTAATGCTGTCACTCGATCGAAGACTAAGGGTTATCCTAAAAAGTCTGACTTTCTTAGGCTTTCAACCATCGAACCACTTAGCATCTCCCCTAAGGAGTTCGCCGATTTTCAAGCCCGTTGCGACTCGTTGGCCGGCATTCGCTCTGCCGCGCTAGAAGGGGCCGATTACACGAGTAGGTCTGGTCATCGGACGAAATTTGTGTGCGATCGTGGCTTATTCTTTCGCGAGTGCATCGGTAGTTTTAATGATGTTGACGTGGGGAAACGCCAACTTGTAGTGCCAAAGCAATGCCGCGCGCTCGTTACGAAGCTCGCTCATGATACGCCCGTCTCGGGACATTTCTCTCATCGTAAAACAGAAATGAAGATTGCAGAGAAATTTTTCTGGCCTGGTATGTCATCAGACGATAGGCGCTATTGCCGGTCTTAGTATAGTATCTTCGGCATTAAATAAATAGGCCTGGATAGGCCTATCGCCGATTCTTGTACTTTTCTTGACTAGACTGGCCTTACGGACGGTAGATTTAAAATCTCTTCTAGATATCAGATGTTCCGTAGGATACGAGGCATTTTAAGACCGAACATATGCTCATGCATGGCCTTGTCTAGTCTGTTCTTGAACGCGTTCATACTCGGAGCGTCAACAATATCTTCAGGGAGGCTGTTCCACATGTCAGTGACTCGAAGCGAGAAGAAATGTTGTCGCGTGGATAAGTTGAACCGCAGTTTT